ACTTTATTTTACTTAATAAGAATAAACAGCCGTCTATGTTTACATCTTATTGGAATGAAAATAAAAATTAAGTAAAAGAAAAATAAAGAACAAAATACAAGTTGTCCTGTTTTTGAGCAGCTGAATGACAAAAAGGCCAACATTTTTCCATAAACTGATGAGCAGCTAATTGTTTCCAACAGTAATTAATTTAAACTGTTTTATTCAGGACAGAATCCCATCAGACTCCGGAGCTGCAGGAGATATTTTCTGTTCACTGCTGCCCTCTGCTGGAGGGAAATGTAACCATCAGTCTGTCCAGTAAAATTTTAAGTAAACCCAACACTTAACACTTAAAGACATTAAAAACAAACCTAAACAACATGCAGCTAGTTTTACTTTTTGGATTATGAGCAGAAAAAGTACAGAAAAGGTTGATTGAAACGTCAGTGCCTTCTTCTGCTCCTGTCGGTGCTCCTGCTCCTTCGCTTGCCCTCTCTTTCTTCTCTCCTCTCTCTGCTTCTGCTCCTCCTCTCAGCTGTCCTGCCTTTGTTTCCTTCTGTGCTTCTTCTGCTCCGCTCACCGTCTCCACTGTGACGTCTGTCTTTACCTCGGTCCTCCCTGCCTCTCTCACGGCTCTGACTTCGGTCCAACCCATCCTTGGAGCTGCTGACTGTCTGGCTGCCCCCGCTGCTGCGCCTCCTTCTCTCTTGACCTCCCTCCGACGTGATCTTGTTCTTCGGGCTGCGATTCCGACTCCCGCTCCGTCCCCTCTCTGTCCTTCTTTGTCTATAATCTCCAGACTCCTTTTTAGGCTGCTTATATGCAGTGCGGGGGCTCGGTGACCTGCTTCTGTGAGAGGAGGCCTTTTTCTGACTCTTGATTCGCCGCTCGGTGTCGACGCTGTTATCCCGACAGGACTCCTCTTTCTTATTCTTCTTTCTCTTTTGACTCTTGGACTTGCCCTTGTCTGAATCGGAGTCACTATCACTGCTGCTATCAGAGGAGTCACTCGAGCTCTCACTACTCTCCTGCTTCTTCTTGTGTTTCTTTTTGTTTTTCTTCTTCTGTTTTTTGCTCTTCTTCTTCTTCTTGTCCTTTTTTTCAAGCCGATCTAGTTTTCTTTAGAAAAAGGGGGAAAAGAAACAGTTAAACTTTCTGACAAGGCAGAGATTTTAGAATAATACACAACATTAGGAAAACATGCGCCTCAAATTATTACTGAATATCACAACAATACGAGCTGCAATCAAATGCTCCTGTCAACACAACACTTTCCACATGCTTCAGCCTTTTTATCCATTTTTAATTAAAGCAGGTGTGGAGATTTAGGGCAGTTTGATTATCAAATATTAATATAAGCACTTAGAATAAATGTCAGTAATAATGGACAAATATGTACAGTAATTAATACCTAAAAATATGATTCATTTGTCATTTGATAATAAAAGTTTACAGTAACATTTATTTTTTTTCTATATTAAAAGACAGATAATTATGTCTCATTATTATTATATTGCAGCCTTTTCATTTTCTACTTAAAATGGGTGATTAAAAATATTAAATTAAGCACATGATGGAATTACCTGAGGAGTTTTTGTTTTTGTTTGGTGGTTAAAGACTTCAGAAATTCCACTTCAGGATCATCTTCTTCATCACTGGCAACATATTCCTGCTAAAATAAAAAAAAAATAAAACACATCCTGTAATCAGAACTAAGGCAGATAAATGAATAAATGATATCAGATGATCAGGTTTGAAACAATATTATTCCTCTCATCTTTTAGTTCACTTCACAACACATTTTTCAGAAAACGCATGTTATGCTGTCTATCACAGCTTTCATCTTCTCCCGTTCTCAAGGGGGTCCTACTGTATGTGTGTTTGTATATTGTCTTATGTGCACTGAGATGACAGTGTGAGGCTGACAATTACCTGTGATGGATCACAAACAGTAGAATTCCTATCAAGGACACATTTTTTCAGGGCAAACCCACTGTTTCGCATCTCAGCCATTAACTCCGAGGGGTGCATCGACGGACCTGTTGGCACAAATCACAGCCTCAGAGTCCCATTGATGTCGAGCCCATACCATCCACTATCCCCACAGTGGGAATTTCACAGGCGGCTTTGTTAACGGAATGGGACATCAAATCAACTCACTCCACTTCCGGCTGAGCAAATCATACAATATCATTCTCCGCCAAAGCGGCAGTTAAGGGAATCAGAATACACAATAATTAGTTTTTTTTCTCCCTGCACAGGAGGGGGACCATTACGGCACTCCACCATCAGCCCCACTGACTGGACTCTCCCAGGGTAAACATTATTACTTTACAACTCAACTCGCTGATTGCAGAACTCAGAATCAGCTCAAGGCTTGGAGCTGAAAAACTGCAGGACAAAAAGCCCGACAAGACAGAAGCTGCTGCAACGTACAAACAGCTATTTTATGATGTGGATTCTTAACCCAGCTAAAAACGAGCAGCGTTAACAACATGTATTTAAAAATTATCATGTTGTGTTTAATAAAAACAGTACAAATGACAAAAAAGATAAATTAATAAAATGTATACATAYTGAATTTACTGGTACGGAACTGATTTCTGACATTTTAGAGTATTTTTGACACCATTTGCACACAAATACAATGGGCCTCACGCAAGAACATGTTCGTATTCTTATCCTAAATTTCTCTTACTTTTGTTCGTGCGAACATGTCACGTCAGACTCAACAAACTCTTCTATCTTCAGGAAAAGGGTGTAAATGAGCTGCGTAAATTCCACCTGTTCGTATCCAGCTGCTCGTGCACGAGGAGAGGTTATTTACATAATTACCACCCCAAAAACACCATATAAGGCTATGTTTCCTGCCCCACATACCAGGAAATGTCCATTCATAAAYGACATCGCAACGTAAAAAAGAAGAACTTTACGAGTTCGGAGATTGTAGTCCTGCTTTCTGAGATCGAGAAAAGAAAATCTGTTCTCTTTAGCAGAGTCAGCTGTGGAATTAAAGGAGCCGCTTAAAGGAATGAAATGTGCTGTTAATGTCGTGTCTCCTGTGGGTCGTTACAGTCAGAAATAAAAATATAAATCATATTCATCTAGTCCAGCTCCGGTTTTTCTTTGGTCAAATATTTTTTAATTTAAGTGTAAACAACTGTGTTATTGTATTTACATTTATTCAGAAGGGTGGTTGCGCACCGCTACCCCCCCCCACCCAGCCTGGCCGTCTCCCCCGCTCCCTGCGGTCGCAAGTGACAGATGCGGTTCTGAAAAGACGCATTTTAAAACATCTCCAAACTTCAATTAAAGCATAATTTAAGTTGTTTTTTTAGTTTGAGATCTTCATATTAACATTGTAGCTTTATACAACAGCATTAAAAGACAATTTAACTTAATCTAATCAATTTATGTCGTTAAAATCTAATTCCAGTTCAAACAGAATAACCTATTGTCAACATAATTATGGAGTGTGATTTATTTTCAACTCAAAATATTTTCTAAATAACGAAGTATAAAGTTATTATCGAGGAAAACCCGTCTGGATAACAGCAGACTGACTGCTCGTAAAATATACGACAGGTCTGGACCACTCGTGAATTTTGTTCGTATCTGAAGAAAATCTTAGAATACGAAAACATTGGTGAATGCCACAAATTCTCCTAAATCACTCGTACGCACAACTTAAGAACAAATCTGTGCGTACGAACGGTTCTTGCATGAGGCCCAATGACTTGAAATATTTTATGAAATATAAAAACAAAACAGAAGGAAAATATTCCCAATTATATTTAGAATCATCTTTCCAGTTATAATGACTACCTGCAGCGTCATCGGAGGCCACGGAGCTGGCATTGATGCCCGACAGTCCAAACAGGGGRCACTCTCTGTCTGTGTTCACGTGACCCCATTTGTGACACTTGATGCACCTCACGTTGCGCACCTTTGGAATTAAACCACAGAAAATCACAACACTGAATAACCAATCATTATAAGGTCAACTTTTTTTTTTAGTTAAGTTACAATTTTGACTTTTACATTCATTAAATAATTCATGCCTGACGTTGACATTTAACTGGGGTGGAGGACTGGTGACAAAGATGTTTGACAAGCTTGTAATCAACAGGTTTTAATCCCACAAAACATTTAGGAGAAGCCAACACATCTGCCTCACTGTGGGCCYTTGAGCAAGKYCCTCCAGCTGCCTTAGATGGCAGCCCACTGTTCACATGTATAAAAATGTTTTAGTGGAATTATAACATGTGACTTGGCTTAATTGATAAATAAAAGTAAATTTTTTGTTCATTTTTTGTTGTCATCTTGAGACTTTTTGAAAATAGATGTCCACACACATAAAAGTCTCATGATGACAGACTTCTGTGAGCACGTGGGTCAAGCATTACAAGACTTTTTCATTTCACATCCTGAAATCCATTCACAGAATTTAGTTTTGYTATTGAGACTGATGGTTAGCCACGTCTTGTGTAAAGAAATATTTAAAGAGGCAAATTACTACCTGAATTCCAAACGGTTGATCTCTAATGTTCATATCATCCTTTGCATACCTACAGRATAAAAAWAAAAAAATAATTAAGTCTAGCAATGTTGACTTCCAACAACTCAATCAAATGTTAGATTATACCACTTACTTCTCTCGAGGGGCACCTTTCTGCCACTCAAAYTTGTATTCATCATCTCCTCCGTCCTGGAAACAAAAAAACACCAGACTTTGGAGCTATGTGTGCAATATTTGAGCTATTATTTCATATTTTCTTTTCTTTAGCAACTCAGTCAGCAATAAAATATTACGTTTAATACTTTTAGAATACTGCATCTACAAAACTCTTAACATTTTAGAGAATAACCTGAGTGTTTACTTTCATACTGTGCAAATATTGTACTATGAACATGTGGTGTTACCTCTTTTTTCTCCTCTTCAAGTCAAGTGCAGGATACGACATGGAGCAAAACAGAATATATTTATTATTTAAACACAGTGATCTTAAAAAACAGCAAATTTAATCATTTGTAGCRGAAAGAATTGAGCTGGGAAAACAATTTACCTTTAGATGCTCCAGGTGGAGCCTCATACATAAAATTGAGGCCATTTTTAACACGATCATCCCCCATCAACAACCTGTAGGTGAGAAGATAGATAGATAGATAGATAGATAGATAGATAGATAGATAGATAGATAGATAGATAGATAGATAGATAGATAGATCAGTTGCAGCTTTACAACACTCAGTACATAAAGTAAAGCCTTTGACAAGATAATTTAATCAAACCTGTTGTTGTAAGTGTCTTGTTCTTTCAGGTATGCCTGCATAAGATCTTGCTGCTTGTTCTTCTCGAAGGTCAGTTTCTGTTCGGCTATCCATACCTAAAACACAAGATGGTTAGAGCACATATGCTCCATACAAAACCATGTAGGTATGTTAGTTCATGTTTGAACTTCAACAGCTCTACGTAYACATTTATACAAATAAACAACACCCGTACAATACTAACTTATTTTAACTGCTTGATTCATACAAAACCGAATTAAGACATGAGAACACACTGAACAGTGATTATTTACTTTTTTAAACATATCGGGCATGGTGGTTGATACGAGGAAGCAGCTAGCAGATAGCTCTTTTAGCTAACGCAAGCTAAACGAAAGTGTTTTTGCCTTAAAAATAGTAAAGATGACCATTAACTAGCACTCACCTTTTTGATATTTGACTTCGAAGCAGGATGAAAATCCTTCTTACACATAAAATTGGCAAACGACTTCCCCATGGCTGACAACAAGTATSATTAGCTAGGTACTGTTGAGTGAAATACGAAGAGCTACAGAGCTAGCTACAGGAGCTCCTGGGTTAACATCATTTATACACTGTTTCACGCGGCGGAGCACCGAGTAGGCGGAGTCTACGCTGCACTATATGAAATAAACTCCTCTTTTGCGACCCGTCATCACTTTTAGCCGGATCATGTGCTGTTATACTGGTAAGGACCAGACCCAATTGCGTAACTTCCTCAACTTGTAAACAAAAACAGTGAACAGTAAAATAAACATGCAGAGTAGCCAAACTATTGAACAAACACAATATCTACTCTGTTGATGAACGTGTCCGTTTAAAAACAAGGTAAATAATAGCAGTGATTCAGATAATAAACATACTTTTCTTGTTGTTTCACTTTGGTCACGTGACTGAACTGTTTCCGTGTCAGTGACCTGAACTGCTGGAGAAACAAACAAGAACAGAAACTGATACTGACAGCGTTCAGTGGACAGGTGAGTACACCATAAACGTAACATTTATCCCCCCCTCACTGTGGGGTTGTTGAGTTTGATTTTGCTAAAACTGCCTTGAAATCTCACTCCATAGCTGCATGTCTTTTCTGTTTCTCCCAGCTGGTAGGTAGGTAGCAGAAATGGACCCCTCCTCATGTGACACCTTTGTGGCTCTCCCTCCCTCCACTGAGGGCCAGCACATCATCTTTGGTAAAAACTCAGACAGACCCTGTGATGAAGTGCAGGAGGTTGTGTATTTTGCTGCCAGARACCATGATCCAGATGAGAAGCTTGAGGTAGGTGACATGTCATTTAGTCACTAACCTTTAATTTTCCTCAGAATGACTGTTTCTTACTGAGGAGGCCAGTTTATAACTATTACCTATTTCCCCCCATGTGTTTTGTTCTTTCTGTATTAAAAGTGTACATACATAGAGATCGAGCAGGTTGCCCACACGTATGCTGTTGTGCTGAGCAGACCAGCGTGGTTGTGGGGGGCCGAGATGGGCGCAAATGAGCATCAGGTGTGCATTGGAAATGAGGCAGTGTGGGGCAGAGAGAGCGCTGATGGAGAGGAGGCTCTGCTCGGCATGGATCTGGTGAGGTAAGATCAGTGATTTGACRTTTCATTTGTTAATTTGTCGTTTTGTAAGACAAACACACTGTCCAAGTTCTTTTGCTCGTTCTGAGTTGTTTTGGGGAAACGTTCCAGGCTTGGACTTGAGAGAGCTGACACGGCTGAGAAAGCCGTGGATGTCATTGCCGATCTGTTGGGGAGGTACGGTCAGGGAGGATCATGCATGGAGGATGAATGTGGCTTCACCTACCACAATAGCTTCCTTGTTTCAGACAGGAAGGAAGCCTGGGTGCTGGAAACATCAGGGAAGTACTGGGCTGCAGAAAAAGTGGAAGGTAATCGAAGGAAAGGACAAAGACACTTAGACCAACAGTATATTCAGACATGTTATTTTAATAATATTCATAGGTAAAATAAGAACATTTTAAAGTATAATGAACAAAAAGAGCAGCTWATTTTAAATTATTACATAAACTCAGAGCTTTGGAGGGACACTACAAGTAAATTACTTTATATTGGGTTAGCACAGATAGTTTAGCRTTTGAGACTGATAAAAGACAAGGAAAAAGGTTATAATTAAGACACAAAAGAGGTTGACCAGTTTTTCATTATTTGGATCTGATTCTCAGAACCTGAATTTGAAATTAAAATAATAAAAATATCCAACATTAATAGATTAAAAAAAACTGAGGTAAACTAAACAATGAGTAAAATCATGCTGTTTTAAATACTTATACAATTTCTCCACCAGATGGCAGCACTTGTATTGTTTTCATATGAGACAAAGCTTGCTTGAGCTCATAGGGTTTTTTATATGTAGTACAGCTTTTGAATAGCTGCATGACCAATCCGTTACCACATTATTTGTGCCTTTGGGTGCCATTTTGTTTTTGTTTAAGAAAGTACCAGTAAAAAAAAGAAACCTGTGGTGGAAGATAATTAGATGCAGAATGACTTCTTCATGTTGATTGTTGAATAATATTTTGTTATGCACACTTTCAAGGTGGATATCGCAACATCTCAAACCAGTATGGCATAACAACCAAGATAGACAAGGAGCATCCAGAAATGAGGGCCTATGCTCAAAGCAAGGGCTGGTGGGACGGAAAAACAGAGTTCAACTTTGCTGCAGTTTACTCCTATYTAACGACAGCCAGAATAGAGTCTGCTGGGAGTCGATACTGTGACGGGAAAAAGTTGTTAGAAAAGAGAAATGGTTAGTTAACTCAGACATTGTTATGGAAAGTTTAAATCAAATTGGTATAAAAAAAAAGTTAATGTTGTTTTTTTGTTCGCTGGAGGTCACATCACTGCAGAGGCGATGATGGATATCCTGCGAGATAAAGACAGTGGCATTAACATGGAGGGCATGTTTATGACAACAGGAAGTATGGTGTCTGTGATTCCGACGGACCCTGCTCTGCCAGGAGTTCACTACTTTACAGCAACTCCAGACCCTGAGAGGTGACGCTCTTCAGCTCAGAAAGCACTACATTGAATTAGACTGCAATTTTACTCTTGAAGTTTTATTTTACTTTATGTTTTTGGTTCAGCAGATCAGTGTTCAAACCGTTCATCTTTGTGAAAAATGCTCGTCTGCTGAAGGACACCACCTCCCCCAGTTTTGGTTCAGAAGACCCCGTGAAGAAAAAACCTCGCTTTCAGAGCAAACCGGACCGCAAACATCCATTGTTTGTCAAACACGAACTTATTGCTGCCATAATTGAATCCTACAAGGTTTATTTCATGCTAATGATTTATTTATTTCATTTTGACCAATGCCAAAAATATACTCAGCATTTTTTTTATTATTCTTCATAGGACAGAGGACAGAAGATCACAGAAGGTATGAGGCAGCTTGAGAAAGAGATGATGAAAGAAATGGAGAAGTTTCTTGAACAAGGCATCGAGGAGCCGGACCTCTTGGTGAACCTGTTTTCAAGTTCTGTTCAGAAGGAGCTGTCTGTTTACAACAAAAGTTGAGATACTTGTCATTTAAAGCACATGTGATGTCAAATTTTTGTAATAAATGTTTTTGGAAAAATAACATTGATGGTATATTGTAAAAAAAAAATCCACCTCCCAAAGATGAACAGTGGAGATATTCACATGTGAAGTAACAGGAMGTGATGATAAAGGAGAATGTCTGCATGTGAACAGAATGTTGCTACAATGGCTAACAACACAGACTGTAGAGAAGAATCTGTTTCTTTAGATTATTTTGAGTCACTAGATAAAGAAGAATYAGAGTTCAAATGATATTGTTTTAAYAAACAAAGACAGGGAGTTCCTTTTCTTAAAAAGTCCYCCTTTGATGTYACTTCCTGTTTCACTTTGGCTGAGCCCAGTTCMSAAGAAAATATGACAGTTATGTGACAAAACGGGTAAAATCATGTATTTTGACAAATTTCTTCACTAAATGTTTTCTTGGACTTCTTGTATTTGCAATATATGCATGTCACAAGCACTTTAATAGAAACACATTTCTAAAGTTCAACCTTTAGTCRGCATGCTTGTAGGATAAATTAGTAAATCTGAACACTTTTAGATGTATTAAAATGGTCATTTTAACACAACCCAGCAATATTCATGAATTCCAAGAACAAAAAACATCTTACTTTCAATTTTATTAGATTAAACATGTTTAAGATTTAAGTTGTGTTGTATATTATAAAAATAAATACAGTTGATTTAAAAAAGTTTTTATTCTGTATTGTTTRCAGCTTTTGACAAAAGGAAAAATGGGATTGCTAGATTGACAAAAATAGATTAATAAAAATAAAACTTTTTTCTATTTGCATTTAGAAGCATATTTAGTGAATACAAGTGTTCACAATGAGAATTTTTCAGTAAACACACACACACAAACTGGTGATTTACTACAAAACAAGGTCAACATGTTTATTTTGGTTATCTGAAGGGACAAACTGTGACATTTGTCATGTGATGACACGGACATTAGATTCAGTCACAACCTGTTGCATATTTGTCTGAAGAAAAGCAAACTGTTTTGTTTTTGACACCAAAGACATGCAGGCTGTAAGCAACACAGGTTTGTAAATAAACCAGCTTTTTATTATGACCATCTGTCACATTAATGAGACACAGTAGATCAGACTATAACTACAGTTGTGCGATTTAGCAAGTAGTTTTGCATCAATTAATTTTGGCCTCATTTCTGAGTTAAATCCTGAGCAAGTAAAGAAAACAAATCTTATTTTTTTGACAAAACATACAAAAACTACATTCACAGAATCATAAGTTCTAATTTTCCAGTGATTAAGTAAGTATTTACTTTCAGAGAGAACCTCTAATATTTAACATTTAATGTGAAAACTGAGGTTAAATCTTGCTGAGTAACAAATGCTTCCTGATTTAATCAGGATTATAACATAGAGACCACTTTATGATTACATTTTTTATGAGTTGAAACATTTTTTGGCTAAAAAAAGAAACATGTTAATAGATGTATGTATGACATGTTTGAAATTGGCACATCGATGCTGCAAAWGGATTTAAGATACTGACAATATGATCCTGCTCTACAACACTGCATAATTCATAGGAACTGCAGCAATRCTTGTGCTTTATTCTTCAGCAGCGTTAAAATAGCAGGAAACACTTTATTTTAACGATAAACGGACAAAATTTAATTGCAAATGTTTTGAGTGCAGAAGCATTTCACAAGTAACATTTGTTATGCTGTCCTCTTTCCCTGCATCATAAGCTTATTAACCTTTTTTTAACATTCATGAGCAGAAAGCATAACATTAATTAAATCACAGAAACCAAGCAAAAAGAGTCCCATTTAAAACGCTTTGTTTTAAACTGCGTGAAACTTATCCCTTAATCCGAAATCCAGTTTTTGTTTAAACAAATGAATCACAGCTTTATTCACTGGTTCACCTTAAAACAAATGGTTGTTCAGCTAAACAAATATTTATTGTACACGCACCTGAAACCTCATCAACTGTTTCACTGTTAGCGTAAGGCAGCTGCAGTTTTATATTTAGTAATATTAAATATAAAGATTGAGGTGATTCAGAAAGAAAATTAAATATTTCCCTTTTAAGACCAAAGCCACACAGCTCACAATGCCCAGTGGAGTTTTTCCGTAAAAAAAAAAAGTGCTGTAGCTAAATTTGAGCTACATCAGTGCATAACCAGTGCTGCAATGTGTGAACTGAGCAAACTTTCCTGTTTAAACTGAAATGCTGCTTGAGATAAAAAATAAAAATAAAAACACCAATTCTGAATCTTTTATGTTGTAAAGTAGTAATGAAGCTGGCTGTCTTCAAAGCTGTATTTCTGCTTGATGTGCTGAAGGACGCCCCCCTGCTGCAGCCGTGTCCCGTAAAGCACCGCCTCGCCGCGGTCCAGCGCCAAGCCCACCTGCAGAAGCCAATCCACCAGTTCGCAGCCAAGGAAGCAGTCCATCCTAGTCTTCATTCCACACCTGAAAGGCAATAAAGTAGCTAAAAGCAGGACTACTATTCTAACAAAAGAAAAAAAAAAGAGACACACCGCAAGAATCAATATTTAACAAATACTGTAAAGGTGTCGTGGAGATATTTTTCAAAAGCAGAAACACGTGAACAAAAGAAGGTGCGCTGCGTGGTTGGTCGTCAATGATTTAATAAAGGTTTGCAATTGCAAAGAATGAGCAGCAACGCAAACAGAAGTGAATCAGGTCTGTCACGCTACCACTGAAAAACAGTAGCATAGGAAATGGTTTTTACATCCGGTTGAAGTCCGTAAGCAACCAATGACAGAGTGACAAATATTAACAAGCTATCCAATGGGAACGAGGTCTTCAGACACCAGGTGACGTCTCAGAATCATGAGTWCAGATTATAMCAATGTAGCAGTTTTCAAAGAGATACAATTAGAAATGTCAGCGCAGTGTGAGCCTTAATGATCAGGCCGAGAGTTATAATTATTCTAGCACAAAGACATTTGAGGATAACCTCCAATAACATGCAGTACACATGTTTACTCAAAATATTCTCAACCACAGACCAGAGCAGCTCTCACCTTCTCTTTTTAACGATGTCACGGAAACACATTTTCATGTGGTATTTGTTGAACTGGACGCAGGTCGTTCTGATGTCATCAGGTAAATCGGGCTGCGGCTGCTCCTTTTTCTTCTTTCCACAACACTGACTGAACAACCTAAAAAACAATAATTACAAAGAAACCCACAGACTTTGTAATACCTTTGATACGCACACAGCAGACCGTGTATAAAACAGCTCAATGTGAATCCTTGACATTATTATTTACCTCTTCAATGGCAGCAAAATAAAGTGCTTGTCCAGCCCRAAAAGAGCAAATGAGATAAATCCCTGGCAACAGAAAACTATACAGATGAGGGTCTATGTGGGAGTAATTATGAAATATTTTAGGACTTATGTATTTATACACTAACCTGCCCAAAGTTGGCTATAGCACAGAAGAACTGCAGCTCCAGGTAGAGTCTCCCAGGAGAGTGATTACAGAGCAACCACAAACAGCTGGATAAATTCTGTTATTAGAGAATTTAAGAGACTATTAGTTTAAACATTTTAGTCAGTCGTGCTCATGGTATCAACTTGTGGAAACTTGAATTAATTTTATTTCATAAAATTAAATAAAACTTCTAGTCTAAAATGACATTGTAGGATCTACAGGGGAAAGAAATCCCAGGCAACAATAAATGCAAATATTTAGCATTTTCTGCATTTGGTTTTTTGGAACCATTAGTCTGATTTATGCACAAAACAGCAGAATGTGGGCAGAAAACCTAACCCTCATTTATTCAGGCAAATCCCATTGATTTTTAAGGGGAGGCCTAAAGGCACCCCAAACATGTAAGTTTTAGACTAAATGAGCACTAGCGTTGATTTTAGCCCCTTTTTGGAGGTGCTCCAGCACCCTCAAATTTGAACTAAGCACTCCCTGAAGAKAAAGAAACTATTATTACTATTTTGTGAGGAAATTTTGTTCTCAACCYRTTGATTCACCAAAATATAAAATAAATTTGGAAATAGAAGCACACCTCTTCCAGTCAGACAGTAACGTATCCGGAGAGATTAACACTCAAAATCCAAGTTTTCCCCGGTCTTGAACGCATCACAAACAAGTCACAGCTATGGTCTCCTCCTGCAGCTGCTCCACATGATGTGCAGAGTTTTCAGTGWGTGAACGAACATGAAGTTAGCTGTATGGACTGTTTGAGGAGTTTAGAAATAAAATGTTTCATGTTTATTTATTGTATAATTGGTTAACATTACAGTAGACCTTTTGGTCCACTACTGGAGTTTTAATACATCTTTAAGCTTCTTATAAACATAATAGATAATGATGAGCATATTGCTTTGGGTGGCTAGGTCATTGGTAAGGATTGATAATTATTACAATTTTAATTTAAATAGTGACCCCGCCCCCAAAAAAGTTAGGCTATACTATGTTTCTTAGACCAGTGTTTCCCAAAGTTGGGGCCGTGACCCAAAGTGGGGTCCCGAAAAATCAAGGTGGGGTCCTGAAAAGATTTTC